CATATTCACGATACACTAGCACATACACATGAGCAATAAAGCAACTCATACTCACGATACACTAGCACATACACATGAGCAATAAAGCAACTCATACTCGCGATACACTAGCACATACACATGAGCAATGAAGCAACTCATACTCATGATACACTAGCACATACACATGAGCAATAAAGCAACTCATACTCACGATACACTAGCACATACACATGAGCAATAAAGCAACTCATACTCTCGATACACTGGCACATACACATGATCATGGTTGCGTGAGAGCCCGTGAAGATATGTGCGCCTGTTGGTGGTGGCTGGCAGCGTCGCAGCAATGGCACGATGTATGTGCTGTTTGTGTATACTAGCCGAATCCATATATTGTTATCCACACAAGACAGACTGGGTTCGTGAACTTCCTTCATTTGGCTTGGGCACAGAAGACTTGCTATTGCTATGCTCGGTTGGGGCATGCGAATGATCCGGGAGCTTTATGGTGAAATTCAGATCCAGCATACGCTACTACAAATCCTCAGTGTGGCTTCAAGCCGAGGTGAAGTGCCTGCGTGTGTTTCGAGAGCTCACATATTGTTGAGCAGCCCATAGTGCCCAACCCCTTCAATTGGCCTAGTGTGTCCCCCTGGCTTTCTTGTCCGCTTGCAAGTTCTATTCAACTTCTGTATGGGCGTTCTATTGGGCCGAAAACTGGCGATCAGCTCCAATCTCAGCTAGTCAATTCTGTTCGGTCTTGGACGCCATTTTACAGGCCTTTTCATAGCCAACCTGTTCCTTCCCCTTTGTTCGCTTTTCTACGTCTTTTATATCCGTCAGATGATTCTTCTATGCTTTATCTGCCTCTATGTTTCCTTTCACTCAGAATAGCCCTGCACTTCTCGGTCTTCTCAGTCATGTCTTGCGCCAGTTGTATAGTTTCTTGTCGTGGTTGCGCTTGTGCTCGCACAGCTGTGCCACCATTTCTCCTCTGATTTCTCTGCCTTATCCATGTCCATCGCAAGCGCGCCTAATTGGCTGCAAACCATAGTTCAAAGTATCGTTTGGATAGATTCCCAATCCGAGTGTCATACATTTTTAATGATATTCTCGGCGTCTACTGCGGTAGTGCGTGACGCGCTGGCTCCTTCGCTTTCTCGGGATGACAGTGGCACCACTCTCTACGCCGTACTTGGTATTATACAACCCTAAATTAAACCTACTTGCGGATATTGGGATATCAACCAGTTGAGAACTCGATTTGCATGGCAGATACTGTCAGAGGAAGCTAGAGGCGCATGCCGATGAATTCTCTTGTCACTAAAGAACACTAAATATCACTAAATAACACTAAATAACACGTTCACAACGCCTCAAATCGTGTCCATTAAATTCGACTAGCACGACTTTGAAATGCTACAGCAGATGGTTTGAGCTAAGTTCAGCTAAGATAAGCTAAGCTAAAACCCATAATATCTGATCGACAGGAGACTTTGACAGGAGCATCCCCCCTTAACAGAGAATGATAGAGTGGTAAGGGAATGAATACAATACCGCGGAGACGACCGCTTAAAAGCGGCTGCAAATGCTCTTTGTATGGATACTGAACGCTATTATAACTTTTTGCTAAATTAATTTTAAACACTCTGTCGATATAGCAGCCGCTATTTTCGACATGTAAATTTCGTGTGCCCATTTATACACTCGGGTCATTGAGCGAACAAGGTAGAATGGTGAGAAATCGCTGGATGAAATCACGAGTTTGAATTTCGCCTACCTTTAATCAAACATTCGGTCGAAACAGTACGTTAATGAATAATTAGTTGTGGATAGATCATTTAGGAATCTATGTTGATTTGAAAGGCGTCGTCACTATGGCAAAGATGACAATGTCACTGCTGGTGAGGGTACGTAAAACAGCACTTCTGTTGTCAACACAACGAGCCTCAGTACTTAGGTCATACATTTCGGGATACATAGTGAGGCCAAACAGTCACACAAAGAGAACGTGGCCCAGAGAAAAATGTAGTGGAGAAGGCGAAGAAAGTTGGCGTAGCTGAGCAAGGAGGAACGAACACATGAAGAACATCTGAAAAAAAGAAGATGAAATGGAAGAAGATACTAGCACATGAAAAACACTTGGTACAGGAGTAGGCCGAGGAGGCAGAGGAGGAATGGAAGAAGAAACTAGCACATGAAGAACATCTGGTAAAAAAGAAGGAGGAATGGACGAAGAAACTAGCGCATGAAGAAGATCTGGCAAAGGAGAAGGCCGTGGAGGCAATAGATAAACAGAAGCAGATACTGGCACATTAAAAACATCTGATGAAAAAGAAGGAGGGATGGAAGAAGAAGCTAACACATGAAGAACATCTGGTAAAAAAGAAGGAGGAATGGACGAAGAAACTAGCGCATGAAGAAGGTCTGGCAAAGGAGAAGGCCGAGAAGGCAAAGGATAAACAGAAGCAGATACTGGCACATTAAAAACATCTGATGAAAAAGAAGGAGGGATGGAAGAAGAAGCTAGCACATGAAGAACATCTGGTGAAAAAGAAGGAGGAATGGACGAAGAAACTAACGCATGAAGAAGACCTGGCAAAAGAGAAGGCCGAGAAGGCAAAGGATAAACAGAAGCAGTTAGTAGCACATTAAAAACATCTGATGAAAAAGAAGGGGTAATGGAAGAGGAAACTAGCACATGAAGAACATCTGGCAAAGGAGAAATAAGAGAAGGCGAGAAACCGAAGCAACTAACACCTGGAAACATCTGGTAAAGAAGAAGGCCGAGAACCTGTTACAGGAGAAAGCCGGAAAGGAGCAGAACTGGAAGAAGAAACTATCGTATGAAGAACTAGTAAAGAAGAGACGCTGGAAAGCAAAAGTTACATGGAAGAAGAAAATTGTGCATGGAGAACCTCTGGTATAAGAGAAAGCCGAGGAAGCAGAGGAGAAATGGAAGAATAAAAAACTATCGTATGAAGAACATCTGGTACCGGAGAAGGCCGAGAAGGTAGAGGAAAAATGAAAGAAGAAACTGGCACATGAAAGAACATCTGGCAAAGTGAAGTCCGAGAAGGCAGAGGAATATAAACGGACGAGGATACTAGCGCATGATGGATTTCTAGTGAAGGTGAAGGCCAAGATAATTGGCGCCTCTAAGGGAAAGGAAACACCTAAACGAGAAACGGGTCCAAGACATGACCGAGAAGACCATGGAGAAACGTGTGGCTATGCTGAGCGAAACGATTTGAGATTACTAGCCGGAAATGGCTCAAATGAAGTCAGAGAAAGTCAAGGTTAAACGTGTACCAATTTGGAAAATGAGAGATGCAGGCACAAGAAGACAAAACTTAGAAATATAAGGTGATACCACAAGCGACAAAAGTCTACATTATTGTGGGACTTATCCGACGCGGCTTAGGTGGAACAGACAGCATAACAATCGTACCACGATAGCAAATGGCTATAATTCGATTTTATGTATATTCCAGCCAATACGTTTCTTTCATAGTACTGCAATAGCTTGATAATGTGTCCTCGCGCGACCTGAGCTACTGAATGTTAATTTAAGAACCTACCACATGTGTATCAGTCCACGCCACTGCTTCAAACCTACAATGTACTCGACTGAAAACCATGTCACGAGATTCAATGTAGTGATGTACTTGGGTAGTACATTGTTTGATTTCAATCATAAAGGACCACATACGTATTCTAAACGATACCGAGTAATAAATGATACTGAGCTGATGTACTTGTTTGAATATGGTAAACATGTCTATGGACTTTAAAGTAAATCCGCTTGAAGGTATCGCCCACCACGTGTAACTGACATCGTACTGTCAAGCGACGACTGGGACAACCAAAAACCTTAAGAACACAAACTGATACTCGCATAACAGTCAATGAAAAGCTTTCTCACTTGAGCAATCAACGTTCACGGTAAATAATACATAATTATGAGCTCGAAAGGTTTTGCAAGCAATACGTACTTGGTAAGCAAAACGAACTTGGTAGAGTTTCCCTGGTCAACGCGCAGGGCATCGTATCTAGTCAACTTTAGGGGCCACAGGCCCAATGGCAATAGCACAAGCAACATGAAGTAAGTTAAGGTGATTAGAGATATCACCCTGAAAAATAAAGCTAAGAAATGTCAAGAGCTCGATTATTGAACCCGAATAGGGATAAGGTAGTATCTATTTCAGTTTTGGTGAAATTTTATGTCTACACGCACGACAGACTTCATATTCCTTGGAGCGGGTGCGTATGTTATCCAAAATCAAACCACACTATATACCTGCCATTCGTAAGTAGTTAAAATGTGCCAATGAGCACACAAATCCGTGTCTAGTACTAGTAGGATAACATGTGGATACACAAGTAAACCCTGAACCATATATCATAAAACCCTTAAACCTAAAATCGGTAGTATGTATATTATCGCATAATCCCAGAAACTACGCTTGATCTTGAATGTATTTTATTCATCGTGCCTAGAAAACATGCCCATCACGCATTGCTTGCCCGTGAAGTTAGGTCGCTGCCACAATCTGCATGTCACAGATGTCACAGGTGGTGACGCTGCAGTCCTTGATTGCTATTGCTGTAAGAACTACCGACCGAAATTTTGATGAATCACAGACCGACGTGCGCGACAGGCGTTCGCTGACCGTGCTGCTGTACATATCTAGCGAACCACTGAAGTGTAGCCGCTTGGACCGCTCAGAACATCCATTAAACCCTGAACCCTAAAACATTCTACGTTGCCATATGCATATGTGCTGCACTGATTCGAGTTAGCACGCCTGCCGAAGAGGTGGTCGGACTATGCACTGCGCACGCGATTGGCACGGTTGGTAACCAAGGTAATAACCATATGCCCAGTTCGACATCCGGTCGACATTATGCGTAAGTCTGTATTCGACTGCGATATTCAAGCACCGTAGGATGGTCACACGCTGTACCCACAATACCAATACATCCACGAGGGTTAAAAACATGATACATCTCTGCACCATGAATATACACAGAAGACTTCTCACGTAGGCACTAAGGCCTTTCGAGTCTCTTCCCGGCTTGCCATGATAAGCGGTGCTCCAAACTCTGTGTTGTTTGACTGAGGTTTGGTTAGTTTCGCATTAATGGCTGGATGATCATCTCTCGCCACACCGAACTGCAATACGGAATTGCCACGCGTTGGCAACGATGGCTTCGACTCTCTCAGCGGCTCTTAAGCTGAAAATGGGCGAAGACGCCTGCGAGTGGGATGGCCACGGAATAGCAGAGGCATCGCAGTGATACGTATGAGTGACTGATAGGCCATAGATACTTAGTAGGACTGATAGTTGATAGTAGAAGACTAGAAACCCCTAAACCCTGCCTCGATATACTCACAGTGTATAGTACACAACAGGACGAGTCGAGCTGAGTTGGAAGGAGTCAACAGAAAAAGGAGAAACCGCACACACATCAGTAGTTATTTAGTACACTTTTCGTCAGACATACATACACCCTCATCCGATAACACCTACGAGCATAGACAATTAACGAGAACTGAATCCGAAGAAAGACATGTAATTGACATGGCCACACGTGCGTGCAGAAGCATGCGGATACGCGCTACCTGACAAAACGGTGACGATGGTTGTGATCATGAGCCAATAGAATCGCGATTGTACTTGTTTGATTTCGCGCGACATTTTCTCGTCGACATATCTGTCAGCCACTCGCCTGTGGCCGTGATATGGGGCAATGGGTGGGTTCAGTATACTATGGTCTATAGAATTATGTTCACTCAGAATTATTGACATCTCAAGTGGGTTCAGTATACTATGGCTCTATGAGTTTATGTTCACTCAGGATTATTGACATCTCAAGTGAGTTCAGTATACTATTGCTCTATAGAATTATGTTCACTCAGGATTATTGACATCTCAAGTGGGTTCAGTATATTATGGCTCTATGAGATTATGTTCACCCAGGATTATTGACATCTCAAGTGGGTTCAGTATACTATGGCTCTATGAGATTATGTTCACTCAGGATTATTGACATCTTAAGCTGTGGTAATTCCAAGATCAAAAATTAACATTGAAGATGTTTGACATATAGTATTAAGCTTAATATTGGATTGAGTGTGCGTATTCGCTTTGTTCCTATGCACACCACACCTCTTGAGCTCATGCGACCAGTTGCGTTTGCCCATGGGCAGACCCTCTGCGGTCAATTGGGACAGCGCCCGTTCTATCTCAGCGTACACCCGCGCAGAAGCCTGTAAACGGTCCAGACAGTATGCCAATGACAAATATGAGCGATATATAAAAAGCCATTATACACTCACACTTATTTATGAAGAACAGCCATTTATACCTCGCACTTATTTAAGACGATTAGCCATATACCTCGCACTTGTTCACTAGCGACCACGCCAAGGAGGGGCCAAAGTCAGTCAGACTTCATACTGCAATCCCACTATTATCAAGAACGTTCACATCGTGATACTTTAATGCCGAGATACAAGAACACCCAGAAAACATACAACAGGAACTGACACCCACTCGCACCAACAAACCCAAAACCCAATGCTCCGAAAGCAAAGCTATAAATAGCCACACGTTCGCCGGAGCACTTCTGGTTGTGAGCGCATACCGCTCGCTTGAAGACCGCGGGATACATGCCACGCAATGTGTACTCGGCTGCGTACAGTTGGATCTCTGGCCGGATACGCTGCAGAGGCTCGTCGACAATCTGTATTCCGTTGAGTATAAAGTTAACGCAGTTGGGTTTGGAACAGGGGCTCTAAGGTGCGTGTGCTACGTTTGAAGGAAGTCGTTCAGCCTCGCGTGGTATGGTGTGTTGTGTTTTCTGTGAGCTTGTTACGATGGCTGATGTGGGGCGCTCAACAGAAGAAGGTTCTGCTGACGACATCTGTTGAACTTTCTTGTGCTATTGTCAATATGAACGTATTCTAAAATAAGAAGAGTATATCAAGTCTGAACAGAATTGCTTAAATCCTGTCCAGGCACAATTGAAGCTACAGACGATACACCTGGCCTACAGCCCTCTTTTTTGGTATATTTCGGCAAACGGGTGCATTTGCACCTTAGCAAAGAGCGACGTGTATCGCACACTGCACACGACTTCTGCGAATCGAAGTCGATATCACATCATACTGACTGCTTGTGGTGATTGTGGTGCACCCTATTGCGACTAAACCTTAAACCCTAAACCCTAAGACGGTACTAAACACTACACCCTATTGCGACAAACACTGGTTCTTACATCACCGAAAATTACCTTAGCTCCCGAAATTAAACAGACGACGCAATCCTAAACCCTGAATTACGCAGACAAATACCCACCTCACTGTAGGCTCTGATGTTTCGCTTTTGCACTTCGTCGTATTTGGCATTCAGTTCCATTGTCATTGCGCTTTTCATCAGCTTCACGCTTTCACTGTACCCCATTGTCTTGAAGGTCAGGGCCTCGTCATCAAACACAGACTAAGGCAGCAGATGAAGCGGAGGGGGGGGGGGGGGCTGCGTGCATAAAATAAGTTATGTATATATATAAATAAAAATAA